TTTACAGTAATGGAGATTGTCAGGCTGAAATATCAGGGTGCCCCCTACATTGCAGTCCAATTGTTACCCTCATATCTATGGTAAATCTACATGTTTGCCGTTTTTGAGTCACTTTCAGTGTTTTTTTGGGGCGGGGGGCTGAAAGAGAATCGGACATGATGGAAATAGTTTGATAATTTCTGATCAGATGTATAGATATGGAATGTACATAATTAACTGTTGTTACCTAAAAACATCTTAATAGCACGTTCCTGCAAAAACAAGCGGGATTCCGGCAGTGCTATGGAGGAAATTTAACAGAACAGGAGCAGTTGCCCATAGTAACCAATAAGCTTAATTTGTGAAAGAAAGAAGCTGATTGGTTGCCGTGGGCAATGGCACCAGATTCTGCCTGCTCCAGTTTTGATACATTTGCCTCTGTGTCTCCTATCTTTGATCCATTAAACAAGAACTCCGGGCAAATCTTTTACCAACCCGTGCAGCGGGGCAACCCCTGCACTGCGAGGGTTAACTTATCAGTTTGGCCTAGGGAGGGAAAAAAAAAGTAATACTCACCCAATCCTCGGGGGCCGGCTAGCTGTGACAGCGATCCTTCCAGCCTGCGTCTTCCTATGCTGCAGCGATGGTATGTCCCTTGGCGTCCTCGCATCCTATACACGGTGGAGGAACAAGACAAAATCTGGAGCAGTTGCCCAAGGTAACCAATCAGCTTCTCTCTTCAGGTTGTTCAGTTAAGGTTTGAAAATGAAAGAGAGAAGCTGATTGGTTGCCACGCACAAATTTTGTCTGCTCCAGCTTTGATAAATTCCCCCCAGTGTATATCACGTTCTATACACTATACAGTGCATAGAACGTGATGACCCGGGGACCTTAGACTGCAGCGCAGAGCAAGCCGGCTCTGCAGATTGGGTGAGTATAACTTTTCTTTTTTACTTAGACCAAAACGAGCAGTTAACACTTGAAGCGCGGGGGTAGCCCCACTGCAAGGGTTAATCAAAGCGTTGCCTGGAGTTCTTCTTTAGGCCACTGCAGCCTCTGCAAGACTCTTCAGCATAAGCATACAATTTGTGCATAAAGTTTGTTAAGGGAGAACTATGGGGTCAGGGCTTTTCCCCATAGTTCTCCTTAGGGTAACGGGAGGACACAAACTAGCGTCCTCCCGTCACCCTAAGCTCAGTATACAGCGAGCTACAGTCAGCGGTATACTGAGACAGCGCAGCCGGAGCGGATCCCCACATCGATGTCGAGATCCGCCCAGCTGCGTGAGTGACAGCTGGCTCTGCCTATCTAGAGGCAGAGCCAGCTGTACCCGCCCCCTCCCCCGTCCGTTCTGCCAGTCAGCGCTGGCGGATCGGAGCGGGGAGGGGGGAATCCAGCCCCCTCCCCCTGTCACGGCAGAGATCCGTGACAGGATAGAGAGGTGAGCGAACGCCGGTATGTGCTCCCTCACCTCCCGATCTACTGAGCCGACCTGTGACAGTCTCATTGTCTCATTGTCACAGGTCGGCTAGAACTATGAGGTGAGTGAAAAGCACTCACCTCATAGTTCTCCTTTAATTGCACATATAATCTTTAGGGAGGTGGCGGGGTCTCTTTATCGTGTCATATCTAAGCACGTATGTTCCAAAAAGAGACAACTTTGTTTCCACCATTCAACTAAACAAGATCTTTTCTTTTGCAACTCTGTATAAATTGTGCTATAAATCAACATCCTATGGGGGGGCGGAGCAAAGACATCACCTTTTTCAGGGTGTAAGGCTTCCAGATAGTTATTCCCGCGAAGCAGGCAAATATAATAACATTGTGTGCAGGTTATAATTGGTGGCGATTAGCGGGACATCTTTTTAAGACAATTTTTTTTTTGTCCGCGGCAGTTCTTTTCCGATGCTGGAAGGAAACTCTTCATGGCATTTTTTTTATTAACGTGCAGAATATTCTAAACTGACGGAGAGATCAGAAGGAGTTTGCAGCAGACATCGTTTCTTTATCTGCAAAATGTAAACTATAAACGAAGCTCATGCGTTGCTTTTGGAGCCTGAACATGGCTTTGCGGCGGTGTTATTGGCCAGCCTTAGTATGACCGTTCAGAACCAATGGCTGCTCTACGCTGACCCCGATTCATCCTCCCAGAATGTGATTCATACTTCCTGTGCTATCGAACTTTGTTATCTGTGCAGCTGAATTCTCTGACACTGGCAAATCCTCATTTCACTACTGCCCTGCGTCCTCCCGCCTGTGTCCCTAGCTATATGAAATGATTACTGCTGCCATTTATCATGCAGTATACATAATTACAATCAGACTATCCTGGGGTTTGCATAATTCAACTCAGATGTCCTCATAATACCTGATTAACTCTTGCTTAAAAAAAAAAAATAAACACAAAAAACAGCCCAGCTGTGCTGCAATACTCTCCTTCAATCCTGCGCTGCACCCCACAGAAGGTCGGCTCCTACAGCAGATGGCGCTCTTCTTCCACGTTGAATGACGGCCTTATGATGTTGATTGATGGCACAATTTACACAGAGTTGAGAAATAAAAAGTTCTAGTTTGTTATAATATGCAAACAAATGTCTTTTGCTAGTTCTTATTCCCCCAAGAACTGTAACTGATGTCAAATGTACAACTTGCATTCGCTCCTCTTTTACTCCGTGTTATTGTACAACTGTATTTGCACCTAAACTTTATTTGTGTAAATTTGTGTTTACCATTGCCAATAAAAACTATTGAACAGAAAAAAAAAGTTCTAGTTTGATGGTGGAAATTAAGTTGCCTCTTTTTGGAACATGCCTGTTTAGAGATGACATGGTATAGATATAGTGTCACTTCCTCTGAGCCCAGGTTGTTTTTTGTGTGCCCTTGCAGTCAATGGCGTTGATGCGGTGTGAAAAATGTCACAACACATAATGTGAACGGGCCCTCAATCCTTTCCTGACCAGGGAAAGGATCCAAAACAAATAACCTCTCGGGGTCACCAGTATATTGCAATGATTTTAGAAAATTGCATTGCAAATCCTTGCCTGTTTCTGCTCTGTAGACATTGTGATAGGGCATCACAGCATTAAGGGGGAGGTTCTGTTTCCTATAATCACATGATCAGAAATCAGAGAAAGACTGCAAGGAAAAGTAGTGAGCCCATCACATGATCAAGAAATCAGATGCTAGGAGGAAAATGGCCCACAGTTTATATAAGGGTCAACAGGAGAAGGATTCTTATTTTCAGAGTCCAATAAGATTTGAAAATGATAGTCACATGGCTTAGTGTCTGTAGGAGGGGTAATGCCTCATCTTTGGTGTCAGTAGGAGGGGTAATGCCCCATCTTTGTTGCCAGTGGGAGGGATAATGCCCCATCTTTGATGCCAGTGGGAGGGATAATGCCCCATCTTTGATGCCAGTGGGAGGGATAATGCCCCATCTTTGATGCCAGTGGGAGGGATAATGCCTCATCTTTGGTGCCAGTGGGAGGGATAATGCCCCATCTTTGGTGTTAGTGGCAGGGGTAAAGCCCAATGTTTGGTGCCAGTGGGAGGGGTAATGCCCCATCTTTGGTGTTAGTGGGAGAAATAGTACCCCATCATTGAGGTCAGTCGAAGGAATGGTACCCCATCTATATTGTCAGTGGGAGGACTAATGCCCCAACTTTGGTGTCAGAGGGAGGAATAGTGCCTCATCATTAGCGTCAGAGGAATAGTACCCCAAGAACTAGTAAAAGGCAAGCAAAGGGCCTCATATGGCTCCTGGGCCACAGTTTGGGGATCTTTGTGTTAATGCTTTGTGAAGTGAGACTATTAAGACCATAAGGCTAAATTCACAAAGCTTTGACAAAAGATACAAAGCCATGCAGCCATGTATTTGTAATTTCCAAATCTCATTGGACTCATCTTTTGGCACATATGACGTATTCTAGCATGCTGCACATTTTGTTTACATTCCAACAATGTTATAAGACTGCATAGAGATCCAAAACCTGTCTATACTGTACGTACAGGGGTGTTTTGATCACAACACTAGAGCAGAACACATTCACATTATCTTTGGCAGGTCTGTGTATTTAATCTGTGCATTCAGAGCCCATTCGCACTGGAGCATTGCACAGCAACACGCGGCCACCAGGAGGTGCGTTGGGGAGCCATTTAAATGAACGGCAGTGCACCTGGCGCACAGTACTGCATACTAGGTGCATTTAGGGCCCATTCGCATTGTAGCATTGCACTGCAACACATGGTCACCAGGAGGTGCATTGGGGTGCCATTCAAATGAACAGTCCACCTAGCGCGTGGTACTGCATGCTAGGTGCATTGTGCAATAGCTAAACACACGGTAACCTGCAACTAGCACAATGCTTCTCTGTGAGCTGGCCCTCATTGGTTTGCCTGGAGTCCAGCTCTAACCAAAACCAGTTCCAGAGCTAATTTGACATGTTACAATGTGATTGTACATTCTGCTTTAGTGCTACCAACTAATAAGTAGTGCAGGGGTCCGCCTGATTGGATGCAAATGATTACTTTGTTTTTTTGAGAAAAATAAATTCGGCCGCACCGTTGCTGGAGCACCAGGATTTATGTCACCGGTGTAACCGCCTCGGAGCTTCAGGCAAGTCTAGATATTAAGTTTAAAACTTTAGCACTTTCCTGTCTTATAGATCAGCAGCTGACGCTGGGCCTAGATATTCAACTCTGCATGAGAAGGATTTGGTGCCTGCCACTGCCACACGCTCAGAGATGTCCGCTCTGCCCAGTTAGAGAAGCAGTTCTCATTGGTGGTGCAAATGATTCTAAGCGCCATGAAGGTCCTGAATTCCATCATCCAGTCCAGCAATGTTTGCCCTGTGACCAAACACCAGACTCTCCACTTCCATTTCTGTGTCAGAATAAGATTAATAACCTTCCCAGGCCGGCACCCCCTCCTTCTCTCATTGAGGACAATTGAGGCTGTGATTGCAGTGAATTAGACACATCTCGCTGCTTCTATCTGCAGCTATTCATGCTCCTGCCTATCTCTTGCTCTCCCTGGGAGTGACTATACTCTTGTCAACAGTGTGGTGGAGGTCATGAATATTCATGAGCAGCTGAGGCAGGGCTGTGCCGCTGGATTGCTTCTCCCAGGCAAAGACTGAAGCCATCATCACCATTGTACGCCGTATCTGTCTCTTTTTTTCCCCCTTCTTTGCAGGGAATATACTAGACGACGGCTGGAGAAAATACACGGACTAGGATGCTCGGATAGCAGGAACGCCTATTGTTTACTGCAGGCTTTATTCTGATGCGGAGAAGATTGCGAGTGGATCTTTACTATCTGCAGGTGCTGTTCTGTCATTACGCTGCTTCACCTTTCTTCCTCAAACCAAATGTTTTTTTTTATTTGCAAAGGTGAACGTGCAATGTCTGTAGTTTGCATTTGCCTGTCTGTGTAGGTCTTACTCTCAGAGGGCCTGTGGCTTGCAAGGTCTTGGACACCGGTTCTTAGATGTCCCTGAGCTGACGGCACCAGAGTGTGGTCCTTGGATGCTAGTGGGATCATCATCATCACCATCCTGCAGTCACTGGCTCCCTGTTCTTTGGTGACCGTCTTGTCACTGCTGTGCAGCAAAATTGTTGGTATCAGGTGTGTGATCCACAACACTGCAATGTAATGTGACCTGCGTGTTGTAACGTGATAGATGTGGGGTAGACGTAGAAGGCTGTATGTAATGTTTGATGCTCCAGGTTAGCTACACCGGGCAGGACCAGACAGGTATACAGAGAATGGCTACACTGTATAAGTATGTTTCATTTTTCTTCCCTTCCTTAACCCTTCATTCTGCTTATACCACAAGAGTGGAATTAAATACAAATATTCTTCTCTTTCACTGGCACTGTGTGAGCACTGGGGGGTGACGCTGGCGTTATGCATCCGCATGGAGGGGATTATTGTAACGTTAGTATACTGTACTGCCATGTTTTCTGCACAAGCTTCTGCCAAGGATTCAGGCCTGGAGAAAACGCTAGGATTTCCGCAAGCCCAAAGGCTGCGGCTGTGACTATTGCAGTGACATTTTCTGAAATTCATGCCAGATATACACATGCCAGATATACACATAGGGCATCACACAGTCCTTCTGCTGTCCCTAAGGAAATGTGATGGTTGGGGTTTGTAGCATATCTTTACCCCGGAGGCTCACTCTGCGATGCTGCAATCTACGAAGTAATTACAGGAATGATTTGTTGTAGTTAAATACCACTTGGGGTAGAATTGACTAAAACTGGAGCGGATGGAATCCGGAGCAGCATGGCATGGCAGCCAATCGGCTTTTATCTTCAGTGTGTTCAATTAAGCTTTGAAAATGAAAGACAGAAGCTGATTGGCTGCTCCAGATTTTGTTGGCGCCAGTCTTGGTAAATTAGTAAATTCCCCTCATTATGCATTGAAGGCCGTAGATGTAAATTATTTATAGCGATGTTTTGGTGATACAACAGATATTAGCCTCTTTTGCTGTTGAGTGTGCTAAGGTTGAAGATATGTACACATCAAATGAATGAGCTAGTAAATGTAATCGCAGTAAAATGCTACTCCTGAAGACTTTAATGTGAAATTTTGGATACATTGGGCTTTAGCCCAAATAATTGGAATGCTATTTAAATAATTTTACTGTGCAGTGAGGGTGAGAGCTCATATAAGGACCAGCCATACCATATAACCTTAAAGGTGAACTCCGGTATAAGCAGATATTGTCCTCATACAAGATTCATGTGCATTCTTCCTTGAATCTCGGTGAGCTTTGTGTATTTCTTCCAGATCTGTGCAGTAATCCAGTGTGGGACTTGGAGCTTCCTGTAATAAAGACCGCGCACTGCTGTTCTCTCTGCTTGTACAGGGTGACTGGTCTTGTCTCTGCCCCCCTCCTGTAATAAAGACCGGTCACTGCTGCTCTTTCTCCTTGTGCAGGGTGACTGGTCTTGTCTCCACCCCCTCATGTGATAAAGACCGGTCACTGCTGCTTTCTCTCTTTGTGAAGGGTGACCGGTCTTGTCTCTGCCCCCCCTCCTGTAATAAAGACCGGTCACTGCTGTTCTCTCTGCTTGTGCAGGGTGACTGGTCTTGTCTCCGCCCCCTCATGTAATAAAGACCGGTTACTGCTGCTCTCTCTCCTTGTGCAGGGTGACTGGTCTTGGGTCCACCCTCTCCTGCATACAATTACATGTGGTGTGTTGTCGATCAGCTGACAGACGATTATTAACATGAGCGGGTGACATCTGCCGCTAGTAGACGACAGATTAGGGATTCCTGCTGCAGGAAAAGGAAAACATCATGACGCAGGAGTCCATAATTGCACCTAAAGATATAGGTGTAAATGGGGCCTTATTGTTGGCTAGGGATAGATTGCTACAATTCTTAGCACTTACACTTTGATAAAATTGACCTCTTGTATATATCTTGCTTCATTTGTTCTTACTGCAGTACTTGCAGGATTCTGCGCTGGAGAGTTTCCATACAGTGCCATAGCAGCCTATGTGACTGCTATAAGGCCGAGTGCAGATGTCATCGTTTCTTCCACAAGCATGCCACACAAGCCTGATTGGGCAGCACCTACAATATTGATTTGGAAGTTTTATCAACTTTGCCACGCTTCAAGACCAGAGACTAATTGAGGCAGAATGAGGCCCTAGGCATGGCAGTGGTTTTGATCCCCCATCCTTTTGCTTGACAATGATAAGGATTGCAGTAGGCACAGAGAATCTTTACTTGACCCCATTGGACAACAATTGCCTATAAGTACATCTTGCCTTGTTGAGTGACAAGCAGGTGCACAACTTTAACCAATCGGCACTATCCCTCTGGTTTCCTACGGGAACATGAATGTTGTAACTTGGCCCCTTGTTTATTCACTGGGCCAAAGGCTCCTGCCAAGGAGGCCTAGTGGATGATCTGTCTCTGAGCGAGGCATTGCACAAGGAGAGCAGTAAAACAAGTTATATGAAATTGTGCCTCATAAATTCTTCTCTAAAGTAGCATTGCACCTCTATGAATCTGGCCTCTGAGCATTTCTCAGTCATTTGCGCGCTGTATGTGAATTACTGCTTCTATTCAGTGATAAAACCATCACAGGTTGTTGGGTGGTCCAGGGCCACAGGCATTGGGGTCTCTAGACTACTGCAAATCCTTTGCTAAATGAGAAACAGCCTAGTGCGTACTATATACAGAATACTCACAATAACTTGCTTCATAAACTCACCTGTAGCGCACTGATGAGGCTGCATGTTGTTGGATCGTCATATTTTGAAGCACACAGCAGTTATTGAATGATAAATGATCTCTCGGCAAAATGGTTGGACAGGGAGGTCTTGTGAACTGATTTACAGAGGTAGATGTGACATGGCAGCTGTCTTGGTAGTGTACCCCTGTGACACCGCTTCCTCCCACCACTATCAAGTCATTAAGCACGTACAGAGAAGTTATTGGAAGTCATTTATTTTTCATCTTGGGTTAGAGCCTTAGTTCTCAACTGGTGGGTTGTGACCCAAAAGTGGGTCGCGACCCCATGTTCAGTAGGTCGTTGCATACCTTCCACTTTTCTAGGTGAGAGGCTCCTCTGCCTCTCCCTAGCGCAGCACAGTCAGTTCTCGCGCCGAGCAGCCATTTAAAATATGCTGCCCGGTGCCGAGTGTCAGCTTGAGGTGGGGTGGGGAGGGCTAGGGTTATGGCAGCTAGTGAGCTCCATCCATACGTGCATTGCTTACAGCTCCCTTGCGTGTCCTGTAGAGGTGCCTGAACTGGAGTGATGTCACATTCTGGCTCCCGGCACCTCTACAGGTGATGCACATATGGATGGCTTTCCGTCACAGCGCATTCTGGTGTGGGAGTGCATTGCATTGCTATTCATTTGAATGACATCCCAAATGCATCTCCCACCCACAGTTCTATCTCCCGCATCGGAACGCGCGGTACCACATGCCATGCGTCCCATTGCAGTTCAACTTGGGTAGCAACTAAATGACCAAGGTCAAATGTGAGTCCTGAGGTTGCACAGGTTGAGAACCACTGGGTTAGAGGGTGCTTAGTTACTAATTTCCTGCCAAATATAAATGGACTTGCCCTCATATGAAGCTCTGCATGGAGCTTGGATAGAGGGGATATCTAAAGGCCACATGGGGACAGAGGAAAGGCAATGTAAGAAGGGGTAGAAGAGGCTTTTAGGACAAAAATGATCTATGGCTTGAAGAAAGTTGAGGGTTGGTATGGAGTTTATTTTATTAATTTTTTTCTTTCAATTGTCTAACTCTTGTCTGGAATACACTGACCTACCCTTCCATATATACTTGAGATGATATTGTTTGATCTGAATTGTTTTGGGTTATAATTATTCCAGAAGCTTTATTTAACCTGCATATCTCACCATTGTACAAAACAATGCCTATAAAAAGTATTCACCCACTTCGAAGTTTCCTTGTTTTATTGTAATGGAACATTGAATCACAATGCTTATCATCCTTTGCTCACTGATCAAGAGAAATATACTCTGCGTGTCAAAGTGAATACAGATTTCTGCAAAGTGATTTTAATTACAATGAAACAATTGGCTGACAGCTTAAGTATTTACCTCTTTTAGGTCAGTATTACGTAGATGCACACATTTTGCAGCATCAGCTCTATCAGCTTTTCACATCTGGACTCAAGCTCTGTCAGGTTTCATGGGCTTCATGAGTGAACTGCCTTTTTTTCATGTCCAGTCACAAATTCTCCATTGGATTGAGATCTGGTCCCTGAAATTCCAGGATATTGATTTTACTGTCGTTCAGAATTTAGGAGGG